TTGGTGTATCACTTAGTTAGACGAAGGTTCACACTTGGTGTATCACTTAGACTAAGGTTCACACTTGGTGTATCACTTAGTTAGACGAAGGTTCATACTTGGTGTATCGCTTAGTTAGACGAAGGTTCTAAAATCTCTTTGGAGATTATTGAGTTTCTGAAAGTTCATTCACCCACAGGTCACTAGGGAAATGTAAAAAGTCTTTAAAAAAAAACAAAAAACTATCATCCAGGTCCCAAATATGTTCATTGGAAAAGTATATATAAGCCACCTCTGAATTTAAGGAAGGCCACTGAAATAGATTGGCCATAATCTCATTAAAGTCATCCAGTCTTCTGGTTAGACTAGGTCTCAGGGTGGAAACTCTTTTACCGGATTCCTCAACACTTGCCTATCACCTCAAGGCATAAAGAACCCGTGAGGGGCCACTTGGATTTGATTGATCATGAGCCTCTCCCCACAGGACAGTTTGGAACAAAATGAGTGCTTCTGGGCAGCACACAGAAGCAGAGGAACCACAGGCTTGGACAACGAAACAGACACTGAATAACAGGATGGTCTTCGTCCATGGACGGTTCTCACCCCAGATACTCAGAAGTTGGGTGAGACCACTCGGATCCCCCTCAGCTAATTCACGGGATTCTCGGCTTCAGGATGCGAGCCGAGAGGCATCAAAAATTGCACATTGCCGGATCTTCTTCAGCCCCGGGCATCCCAAGGGAGGAGTGGCCCCCCTGAGGTTAAAGATTGAAACCTAAAGGCAGTGCAGAGAAGCGCTCTGGGCGACCAGGGTTGCCGGGCTGATGCGTGATGTTCAGAATCTTTCCAGTCAAGTGTTGGCTTGGCAAGCAGCCCATGAGTCTCCCTCATGGCCCTTCTGTCCCTTATGATGGGTCTGTTTGAATGAGATGACCCCTGGGGACTCTCTGAAGGCACAGTTATCTCTTCTTCCCCGCCCCCCTGCACCAGCTTATCAGCGCTTACTCTTCCCCAGAGCGATTTTGTAGAACCTTTTCTCCTTCCCCATTGTCTTCCATTCGTTTCCTATTTTATGTTGAATAAGATGTCAGTTCTTGGGATGATTCGCAAGGCGAAAAATCCATCTTCCTAGGCAATAAATTCTGGTGTGGCTTGAGAGCTTGAGCTCCTGTATTATCTCATCTTTAAAAACATTAAGAGAATTCTAATACCTCGGGGGTGCCTGCGTGGCTCAGTTGGTTAAGCGACTGCCTTCGGCTCAGGTCATGATCCTGGAGTCCCGGGATCGAGTCCCGCATCGAGTCCCGCATCGAGTCCCGCATCGGGCTCCCTGCTCGGCAGGGAGTCTGCTTCTCCCTCTGACCTTCCTCCCTCTCATGCTCTCTGTCTCTCATTCTCTCTCTCTCA